CCTACTTTCATATGGAGAACAAAGAATGTGAAGGGAACATTAGCAGCTTCTGATTAAATGCTTTAGTAGAAGTAAGCATGGAGCTGTCATAGGGATAGGATTTGGGGAACCTTCACTGCACATGCAGTCAGTTACTGACTGAAATACAGCTGTGGGGCACACGGTTCTAATGAATCTTCTTACTAGGCACCAAATCATAATGCATAAGACTTACCTAGTTTTTTTTCTTTTTTTTTTTTAATGTATATAGTACAGGGTCTACTGGGTCCACAGGGTCTCACTACACAGCTCTGACTTGCAGTGATCATCCTGTTTTCAGCCTCCCAAGCACTGGGATTACAGGTGTGTGCCACCATGCTCAGTCTTAAGCTGTCTCAGCATACTCTGGGGCGGGGCTGGCACGACACACCTTGAACCCTGGTCCCTGTGCCTGCTTAAGCAGTTGCTTTAGTCCACTGAACTATCTGCCTGGCTCACACTTACCTAGCTTAAGCAAGTCCAACAGAGTCTTAAAAGCCAATGGACTTGGACCAAGTTGATACTTATTTTTCTATCTGTAGGAATTAGGTGAATGGGTGGAGAGGAAGTGGCAAGAAAAAGAAGCATTTTATGTATAGAAAAGCAAGGGAGCAGATTGCATGAGTCAGGCTGATATGAACAGTGACTTCAGAACCAACAGGTTATTAGACTGATAATGGCACGGAGTTCCCTTGAGAGGGAGCTTCAAAGTACTTCAAGCTCATGTTGGTCAATTTAGCAAGTTCCTGTCTTAAAATCTAAAAAATAAAATAAAAAGGACTGGTGATGTACCTTAGTGCAAAGGTCCTATGTTCAATAGGCAATACCAAAACATAGGGTGTTCTTGAATCATAGCAAACACCATATTTATGTGAACACCTGTTTGGATTTGTGCACAGGGGTGGATCCCAGAGCATTTTGGATTATACATAGTGGATATATTAAGGAAACAAACAGTGCTATGGTAGGATAGAATGTGGTTAATAAGGAGAGAATTTAGTAGATTAGTCTACCTCTTAAGCCAACACAGTGAAACCACTTATCCAGTCTCCATAGTAGAGGAGTGAGTTTAAAGCCAGAAGGAGGGTCTTTGGTTTGTTAGGAGGGTGTTGATTCCATGTGGCAAACTCTTAGATGTTTTACTTTTCTCTCAGTCTTTTCCTTGTTGCCTATCAGTGCTTTCTTCTTGGGACAGTAATGTGAGAAGGGGGTCCCGTGTTCAGCCTCCTAAGCATTGGAATTACAGGCATGTGCCACCACACCCAGTCTCATTTCTCTCAGGAAGCCCCAGGGGTGGGGCCAGAACAGCACAGCACACCACAGCTCTGCATGGCGGGGATCAAACCCTGGCTGCTGCACTCTGCCTAAGCAGGCACTTTAGTCCGTGAGTTATCAGGCTGGCCCCAAAAATCCATTTTAAAAAATCTTAAGTTCTTATGAATCCTACTGCACTATACATCCCTATTTGTTTTAATATAAATGGAGATTTCCTCCCTAATCATTTTTACTAAAAGTAATATGAAGACAGAGCTTTCATTTTATTGTATCCTTTTGTATTTGCCTGC